TTGCCAAAATCCGACACCAAATCGCCACCCAAATCCCCAAATTCAACTCTCCAAATCCCTAGCCTCAAACTCCAAAATTCCACCTTAAATACACACAAACTACCTCGTCGAGGTTAGGCTCGACACTTACGGAGTATATTGGGTCGGTTGTACTTATACTACAGTTCTGCACTTCTTGTGCAGATAAAGGTATTGATCCCCGTGGTGCATGAGGTGCGTCAGTTAGGATCATTGCAGATGGAGACTCAAGGTAGATCTGTTGGCGTCCGCAGACCTTGAAGTCCCCTTCTTTTTCCCACTTTTACTGTTCATTTCCGTCGAAATAGTTATATTTATTTCAGACATTATTTGTAGACTTCTAGTTACTCGTGCACTTGTGACTTCGGATTTCTGGGAGTAGATATTATCACGTGACTTATATTAGTATTGTGTTAGACTGGTTTCTATTTCTCGTTGTATATCACCATTATGTTTTTAACTATTAAAATTAGTTATTTAATTATCTCACGTCGGCTTGCCTAGCAAGTGGATGCTAGGCGCCATTACGACTCTGAGATTGGGATTTCGGGTCGTGACATAAAGTCTCCATAACTTTGGTGCAACGAATTCATTAAAATTGGGGTGTTATAAATATTTTTAGAATTTAGATAAGTTACTTAATTTACTATACGTATTTACTAACCGTCATATGATTTTAATATTTGTTTCTCTTATTTTTTTCAATTAAGAAATCAAGTAAATGCCAACTATGTTGAAACTAGTGGATAAAGAAGAAGATGTAGTGACTTAACTAAAATAATTTGGGAGATTTTGAGTCACATAATGGATTGAGGGGTAATTTTTAAAAGTTTGCTGATGGTAGGGGTAAATTTGGTTGGATAGTATAACGGTAGGGATAAATTTGACCGAATAGTATAATGGAGGTTAGATGTAGATAATATTCAAATGTAATGGAGTAAATTTAGACTTTTTCCCTAGAATAAATGCTTTACACAATTTAATAATTGAAGTAACATTTGAATATCTAAAATAATGTGAATAATAAAATGGATCAGAACAATTTGAAGCTCTTAAAATAGTATATTCAATTAGGAGAAAAAAGAGAGGCATGAAATTTTAGTTCTTATACAATATTATAGCTTAAATTTTAAATTATTGAAAAAAGTACATGTTGTAATTTATACTATTAATTGAGGATTACTTTTGACATTTTAAAAATGCATGCAATTAATGACTTAGCTAATTTCTAACTGTTAATTTAAGATCAAGAGGGGGGTTTACTATCCCATTCAAACGGTGAAAGTAGATATTATTACCTAAATACTAGCTAGTTTAGGGGGTTTAGTGGACTTTACGCGTCTGTTTGAGAAATTTTCAAAACTTGAGTTTGCAAACTCAAGTTTCAATTGGCAAAAGTTTTTTTTGGTGGAAATCAACTCAACACCACATCCTACCCTTCCCTCTCTATATCTCTATCTTCCTTCCTCTATTACTGGCTATACATTTTGATTCTATTCTATTGAACAGCTATTTGTATAGACTCTCTACCTAATTTGGCCCCTTCTGTCGCTTCTTTTATCGTACAACTTCTAGGCATATGTATTTACATGTATATTGAATTTGTTTCAGGATCTTTTGAGGTCTTGGCACTTTCTGCAGCCAAACTGCTTATTTTCTGGCCCTCCAAATGTGGTATACGACTATTGTCAAAGCTGCATGTGCAAAAGCTCTTCATATTTCTCCTTGGCTGCTCTAGCCATCCTTCGCCATAATCCTTTCACCTATGTGTTTTTTATGTTCATCCCAAGCCATTTGAAGACATCTTCTAAGCACAACCTAGAGAATGTGCACTCAAAGAATATATGTTCACTTGATTTTGCTTTTCCACCACATAACATACAATCACTATCTTGTGTTATCCCTAGTCTTAGTGTTCTATTTTGTCAAGAGTTTTCTACGCGTTGCAAGCCAACAAATAAAGCTATGTTTAGGACTGTTCATTTTGTTTCATACCCATCTTCTCCAAGGCCATGGCTCCAGCTCCCCTCTTTTCCACTTATAACCACTACTTATTGTATATTTTCCTGTCTGAGTCTTCCATCCATTCTCAACATACCCTGCTGCAAATGTGTCACGTTTGGAATATATTTTCCTCCAATACCAGCAGCAATCCTGTAGAGGAGTGTAGTTCCACCAAGCTTGCCCTTTCAGGTATATATGATTTACCCATTTAACCCATAATGTGTCTACTTTGCTTGCAATGTGCCATACATATTTTGCCACCACTGCTTCATTCCAGGCCATGCATTCTCTTATTCTCAATCCACCTTCATTTTTTGGTCTGCAGACTCCCAGACTACTAAGGGCACCCTGTTAGATACTCCTTTCCCATCCCACAATTAGTTTCTACAGATTGTCGTAATGTCCTTTAGTACCTTCTTTGGGAGAATAAAGATGGTTGCCCAGTAGGAATGTATGTTTATCAACACAGAGTTGATTAATTGCACTCTGCCTGCGTATGATAAGTGTTTTGATCCCCATGAGTGCACTCTGGTGCTCAGTTTTTCCTCCAATAGTTCACAGTCCCCATTTAATAGTTTCCTTGATGATATAGGAACCCCTAAGTACTTGAATGGGAAGGTCCATTGCTTATAGCTTGTTAACTCACAGATATCTGGTAGACATTAGGCATCCATGTTTGCACTAAATATGTTCGATTTTCCAGCATTTGTGCTTAGTCCTGAAGCATTAGAGAATGTTTGTAATCCTTTAAGCATTAGTAATATTGCCCGGTAGTCTCCTTTCCATAACATTAGGAGATCATCCACAAAGCATAAATGATTTAACTTCAAACTCTTGCACTTCGTGTGAAAAGCAAAGCCTTCAAGAGTGGTCACCCAGTGCATAATTCTCGTGAAATATTCCATACATATCACAAAGATTATAGGTGATATAGGGTCTCCCTGACACAGCCCCCTCCACCCTTTAATACAGCCATAGATACCCCCATTCAATGCAATTGAGTATTGAGTTTTGGATATGCATACCATAATCCATTTGACAAATCTTGGTGGAAAGTTCAATGCATGTAACATCTCTTCCACAAAGCCTCATTCCACAGAGTCGTATGCTTTCCTTAAGTCTATCTTGATAAGGCAGCTTCTTGTGGTCTTCTTCCTGTTATACAGTTTCACCAAGTCTTGACATATAAGAATGTTCCGCACTATGCTTATGCCTTCCACAAAAGCACTCTGGTTCTCAGCAATAATTGTAGGCAATACTCCTTTTAACCTATTGCACAATATTTTGGAAATCACTTTGTAAACTGTGTTACAACATGCTATAGGTCTGTAGTCTCCCACATTTTCTGCATGATTACTCTTTGGCACAAGAGTTATCTCTGTGTTGTTTATGATCTTGAGCATTTGTTGCATTTCAAAGAACTCAAGCACACTCTCTACTAGGTCTTGCCTCACCACTGACCAGCAGTCCTTGAAAAATTGGCTCCCATAGCCATCAGGCCCTGGGGACTTATCTCCTGCTATTGACCATAATGCCTCCTTAACTTCTCTTTCTGTGAATTGGGCTTCCATACTATCTCTCTGTTCTTGTTGTATAATAGGACCTTTTCGAACAAGATTGTTGCATACATGTTGTCTTTCTTTTTTAGAATCTCCCAATAGATCATTGTAGAATTCTATAAAGGAATTAGAAATCCCTTCCATGTCAGTGTGCACCTGCCGTGTTGAGTCCTTAATGGAAAAAATTCTGTTGGCATTCCTTCTGGCTTTTATCACATTATGAAAGTATCTTGTGTTTTGGTCACCCTGCTTCAGCCACTGTATTTTACTCTTTTGCCTCAAAAACCGCTCCTTAGTAGCCTTCCATTTGATACTTTCTTGCAGCAGTCTGACTTCCTCATTGATTAATTCAGCATTCCTTGGATCCTTTTAGATCTTAGCTTGACACTCTATCAAGCTTGCCAATGCTATTTCTACTTTCCCTTCTACATCAGAGAATCTTTTCTTGTTTAACCTTTGTAATACAACTTTGTTCTATTCAGCTTTCCCACTAGTTGATACATTTTTGTACCTGTCAGCTCAGTTTTCCATACATCTTGTACTCTCGTTTTGAACTCTGGTATTAGGCTCCACATATTAAAGTATCTAAACTGCTTCTTATGTCCTGTATTCCTTCCTTCCCAATTTATTAGAGCAGGGCAATGGTCAATTGGCAAAAGTTGATTGGATGGATACATGTTGTTGCACTACTTGTTTTATTATCTTAAATTTGATTGTAGAAAGTTGGCGCCCGAGTAAGTAGGTAACTATCTTAGAAGCAATTAATTAATGTTGTACTTCTTGATGTTATTCAAATGTTGTAAATGTGGGCCGTGAATCAAGATCTTTACTCGGGCCACAACATAATCGACAAATTCAAGAAGTATTCCTACAAGTAAAGGGAGTTTCATCTTGTGAAGCCATGATGTTAAAAATTGAAAAAATATTGCATTGGCGGCTAGAATAGTAATTTAAACCCTTATTCTAGACAATACCTTTAAATCCACAACTTCAAAACTCATAAGGGCACGACTTAAGAGCTAGATATTTGATTTCTCTTTAACCTAAAGTATCAAGAAAAGTTAAGAACGCATCCTATAACTCAGTATGTGAAGTAAAAACATGGATTTTACTATGTTGGATTATCTCTATATCTTTTCATTTTGTGAAATAAAGGAAATCACTCGAAAACGAGATTCATGAGTTCCTTCATATTTTACTCCTTGCCATTCCATTTCAGAATAAGTACATAATAGATAACTATGTACAAAGATATTAATTTCTTGATGATCAATAATATACTGTTCTTCTTTCGAGTGCAATTAACAAGGGGCGGAGGTAGTGCCTTAGAGTATTGCTTACGGGTTCAAACAAACTCAGTAGCACTCTGTATTTATATTAGAAAATTTATTAAAAATATATAAATATTTATTTGCAAACTCAATAACTAAGACGTATTGAGTTCGATTACAAATTCAGAACTCATAAACTTTAAATTCTGACTTCGCCTCTGACTATAACTCACAGAGAAGAAAAGATGGGGATACCAGGAAGAGTATAACCGGAATCAACAATAAATATGTTGCCAGATACATAATTGGAAGAGTCATGGACCAAGTATCTCACAAGTGAAGTTAAAGCAGGATTTGTGGTTCCAAAAGTTTTCAGTGGAACACTTCTTGTTGCTACATTTTTTAGCCAATCTTTTTGCAATAATTTCTCAGTAATCTCCGATTTGAAAATTCCTGGAGCTATTGCATTCACTCTTATGTTATGTTCTCCCAATTCATATGCCATTACCTGCAAATTTTCATTAATATATAGAGAACAATTTAGATTTTGCGAGTTTAGTTTACGTATAGATATATCAAAATGTCAATATAGAGATTCTGAAGAAAAGAAAAGCAAGAAACATTTGATTAGGACAAATAATTTTTTTAAAAGAAATTAATTAGAAGCAACAAATACTAATACAGAAAGCTGGGAGAGATAGTAAAAGGAACCAAATGCGATTGAGAAATTAAAATTCATAAAGAGTTACTATGATTTCATATTTCCCATTTCATAAAATAAAGGATTAGGGGTGTGTTTTGGTACGACGGACTTCATTTTTAAGAAAATGTATTTAGGTGGTTGATCGGAGAGCTGAAAATATTTTCTTAAAAAAAAATTATTTACTAAAGAATAATAATAATATTATAGCAAATTAGATAGTGTTTGAACAAATTTTTGAGTAGTAAGTAAACAATAATATTCATGTATTGGTTAAAATAGTGATATATGAAAGCTAACACTTAAAAGATAATGTTAGGGAAAATGACTTAGGCTAAAAAGTGAGGGGAGGGGAAGTTATTTCCCCAAAAAACTACTATATTTTCTAGCAACCAAACATGCACCCGGAAAAAAAAATGCACCAGAAAAGAGTTCATGTGGTCACTAAACTATTCGAAATTATTTAGTAAGATTGTGTTTCTTTTGTTTGTAACAGAAAAGTGACTTTACTATTTCTATATCACTCAAAAAGTCAATCAACTAGATTTCTCAAACTTTTTGTAGCCAAATGCCTATTTTACTCTTTAAATTATTATTTTTTTAATATCATAATTTTTTTTCTACTCTATATTATAGACTTATCCATACAATAAATAAATCTTATTTTCTTAAAACCATTTTCACAAAAATATTTTTCTTTGTTAACATAAGTTTCCAAAATTAGATTATTATAACCTTGGTCATGGTATCCACGGCAGCCTTGGAGGAAGAATAGGCAATACCCCCTCGCATTGATATTCTATTTATACCACTAATAGATGAAATATTAATAATAGAGCCTCCTCGTTTTGCAGCTTGCATGTGTTTCCCAACATATTTAGAAACTAGCCAAGATCCTGTCAAATTTGTCCTTAAAGTGTTATGCCACTCTTTCTCAGAAATATCCACTGCTGATTTTAATCCACCTATAATTAAACATCAAAAGTAGATTCATCAAATTATGGAGTCAAGCAGCCTAAGAAATTCCATCATTCTTTTTAGGACAATATCCTATACTTTCTTGCATAACTTCCACTATTTGCTAAAAAGTTAATTAAGGAACTATAGCCTGACATTTTCTCTCAAATACAAATGCCAAAAAGGAAGTTCCTCGGATATTTATTACTTAAAAAATAACAACAATAAATCAAGTATAATCCCCCATGTAGAGTCTGGAGAGAGCAGTGTATACGCAGACCTTACTCTAGGGATATCAATGGATATTTAAAAATCGACTAAACCGACCGAATTGTACCATACCAAACCGATTTTTAGGTTTCTTTTAATAAAACCATAGGATTTTATATAAATCTATAACTGTACCGATAAGTAAGGTATGTTTTTTATTTTATGAAAATAAACCGAAAAAAATATCGAACCGTACCGAATAATTTACAATATGAAAAATATATTTATATATTAATTTTAAAAATATTAAAGCATTAATTTTTTTTCTTGGGCCTTGGAATTATGAAACAGTTTTACAAGTCAACAAGTAATTAAACTAAAATTCCTAATTCCCAAACCTATTATGCTACTTCTATTGAAACTAAATTATTTCCAGCATATTCACTAGCAAGACACAAGGTATTGTAGCGATTATGTGTAGCAAACTACAATGTATTGAATATGTTTTCTTTCGTATGATTTAAATTTATCTTTTTGAATTAATCTTCTATAGATTTTATTCTTGAATCCCAACTTGGTTAATATCTTTCCACTCGTATGATTAATATTTTTTTTGTATTTGCTTAGCTTCTTTTACGATGTTGTAGAATAGTTGATGAATCTATACTCTAGCTATCTTTCATATTTTCTTAATTCATCACCTTTTAAACTGTAAATTCTCTAGAGAGTTTTGCTAAGTCATATAAAAATGCGTATGTTATTGCATTCTACTTCTACTAGTGACTTTTACATGACATTTAAAACAATTATCATTAATCAAACCGTACCGATACCGAAGAGAAACCGACATGATTGAGATGGTTTGAAAAGTCTAATTTTGATTATATATATGAGAATAATCAAAAAATTGGTATGGTACAAATTTTATAAAATAACCAGCCAAACTGAACCATTGATACCCCTACCTTACTCCCCACCTTGAAGGTAGAGAGGCCGTTCTCGATAGACCATCGGCTCATGAAAGACGAGAAGAAAAGCAATAGCACCAAGCAATAACAACAACAAGATCGTAAGAAAACGAAACAAAAGGAACAACATTAATACTAAATTAAAAGAAAATATAACAAAATAATTATTGCTTAAAAATACTTTTAATTTTTCTTAGATCCTCGGATGAGTAAATTTATTGCTTAAAATATACTTTTATTTTTCTTTAATGACTTTTATCTTCATAGTAACAAGGGAGCGGAGCTATAGTAATGAGTGTGGGTTCGGGTGAATCCAGTGACTTTTGCCCAGAGCTTGTATTTGTATTGAAAATTTCAATGAAGATAGATAAGATTTTAACGCCGAACCCAGTGACAATGAGGCTTTGTGTTCAGCGGTAAGGCCTTTGGGTTCTGAGTCCACACACGCGGATTTGATTCCTGAACCCTTTTGTTTTTTAAAGACGTTTTTCTTTTCTTTTTTGAAAAAGAACCAAAAATTAATTAAGGCAAAGAAGAAAAAGATAAAATCTCCAAACAAAGAAGGCCCACTCTCCCGCCCACGTTTTTCTTCAGGACCATCCCTGATATTCTTTCTTCTTCTTTTTTCTTGTTTGCATTTCTTTTGTCTTTTGATTTTTACGTAGATGTTATTTTTATTTTAAAACTTTTGATTCCAAAGGTTGAATCTTATATTTTTACTGTTGGGCAATGCTTCCTCTAAAATATTAGACCGTTTCTTTTACTTTTTTTCTCACAATTGCCATGTGAATATGATTTGTATATTAATCGGAGGATAGGGACTTTTATTCTTTCATTTCTGATTTTTATAAATTTTAATAGTTTTATATACATGGCTTCACAAGTTTAATGGACAAATATTAAGAAATTTAAATATTCAATATTTTTTATTTTTGTTTTTTTATGGCGCAAGATCAAATTATAGTGAGATATTCAATTTGTAATGATAGACTACAAATAGTTTTTATTAAAAAAAATCGTTTTGTATTGCAATATTTTTTTTTAAGCCAGAAAAGAATGTTCGCATTAAACTGGCAATGAAACTTTGCATCATCTGATAACCTTCTCCATATATTAGCAAAAAAAAAACGTTACTCATATCAATAAGGAAAAAATAAAGGAAAGCAAAAACGTTTTTCTATGCATCTACTATCCTATGAAGTGAACTACTAAAAAAAAATATGCACAAGATATGGAAACTTGTTTATTTGTTTAAGTTTTATATTATCTGTCGCTATTGCAACGATGAAAAGAGTTTTTTCGTTGATGAAATTTATTAAAAATGATTAACATTGGTGATAACTTTTTAAATGATTGTTTAGTTTGTTATATAGAGTACGAAGACTTAAAGGTGCCTGATGCTGCAATCATTTATCATTCTACAAAATATGACAAGTCATCGAATCCTGTTGTATGATAATATTTATATTAATATATTGTATTTAAATGGTTTGTTACTTATTGAATATATACTATTAAAAATTGGTATTTGTTCTTTGTCTTGTTATTATTATATATTAACTTGAGGCCACGGCCTTGTCTTAAAATTCAGAGCTCATACACTTAAAGTCGTGGCTCCGTCTCTGATAGTAACAGTCCTCTATCCTATCAAAACTAGTGTTTTAGTAACCAAAATTACATACACTTTGTAGGCAAAATTAGGCGTAACCTACGTACCTCTAACACCAGCATTGTTAATGAGCACATCAATGTGGCCAAAAGCATCCCAAGCTTTCTGTACTGATGCTTCAATGAGTGGACCATCAGCAGTAACATTAAGTTCAACAGCTACAGCTCTAACAATTTCAACATTTGAACTAGCCATTGCATTAATCTCATCACAAAGGGACTTCAATCGATCGGCGCGACGAGCGGCTGCCACGACTTTACAGCCTGACCTAGCAAGGTCAAGGCAGTATTCGCGGCCGAGCCCCGCCGATGCTCCGGTGACAAAAACCACTTTGCCTTCCAATTGCCGCCATGGCTCCAAATGGTCCGCCGCATTGCTCTTCTTTTGAGTTGTCATATTGCTATGGGACTTGCTAGGAGTTTATATGTGATGGATCTAAGCTAAAACGTACATTTATAGGAATCAACCAGAGACGGATCCAGAATTTAAATTTTATGGGTTCAATTTTAAGATTTTTAACATTGAACCCATTATATTTTTAAAGTTATGGGTTCATATCTACTATTTTTGCAATTTTAATGAATTTTTACATACAAATTTTTATTCCGCGTCAAAAGTTATGGGTTTAGTTGAACCCGTAGCCACTAAGCTACATCCGCCTCTGGAATCAACGTGTGACATTTCGAGAAAAGTGAATTGGATAGGGACATAAAGTTTTCTTCTAAATTAAATAATAAAACGTGTTTAAGTTGTTCGAAGTCATGCGGTCTTAATTGTATATGTCGGATGCTTTAATTTTTTTGGTTTCCTACCTGGTGTTCGTTACCCCTGACTATATCTGGATTCATATCGCGTAAGGCCCCATTCGGGGAAGCGTTCCCTATCAAGAATTTTTTCATAACCAGGGCTCGAACCCGAAATCTCTAGTAAAAGAAAAAATAGCTCATCCGCTGCATCACATTCCGGATGCTTTAATTAACATATTGGGTGTGTAACGTGCGATGCGTTAATAGATTCCAACAAGTTTGTCATGTTTTTTTTTTCAAATAAGATTTTCACCCTATAATGGTTTTTTTAATGTGAAAGAACACGTAAATAAATGACATCAAGACGAGTACATGGGTTTAAAGCTTTTAATTTGAGTACATTATATTTAGTAACGTAGAGATAGCAGTTATTAAAAGGATTACTTTGATCTCTACATTATAATTTAAAGGAATATTACCCAAAATAATTAAAAGGAATAGTTATGATAACCTTTCTAAACTTCGTGAGTCTCTTCCATATCTCTGGTTTTATATGATAAAACAGATAAATATGGACAAACCTATCAAGAAGCAGAAATTTATTGGGACAGACAGACCAGTAAGATAGAAAATTCAGTGCCATACATCATTTATTACCATAATTTATTCTTGGAATACACAGTCTGGGTATGGAGCTATGGGTCCAGAGACTTTATCTCCAATTCCAAATTAATGTTTACTTTTCAAGCGATTTCGGGTCTAGAACATGTTACTTTTTATATTAGTAACATATATACATATTTAATTTTATTATGACACCACTTACTCAAGATGTACATCCATGCCATGGCATAATTAGTTCAAGGGAAAAAATCATTATTAACTGCAAAAAGTTTGGCAAACTTTCTAGGTTTTCATTAGAGCAAAAATCATTTATAGCAAAACTAATGACAACTGGTAGCCATAAAATAAGGCATACAATTCATAGCCCAAAATCAATTATAAGAGCTAGCAAGTGAAATTTAGAAAACCAGCGGAGACTCTGGCTCCTCAATGCAACCTTTTTTTATACGTAATATTAGTAGTCAAAATATTTAAAATCCCTCCAAATCACCCCAAAAGTCCTTTAAACCTATTGAAATCCTCGTCAAAATCCACCATTTCAACCCAAAAATTTCATTAAACCCAACTGTCTTCTCCATAACCACCAAAATCCCTTTTTTATCTTTTACAAAAACAAAAAAAAATAGTGATCCAATCTAGAAAAATATAATATTGCATAAGCAAAAACACCCATGATAAATATCGTTTTCAGTCTTTTTTTCTCTCAGTGCACGTTAGGTGACCTTGCTAACCTGCGCATCCTCCGAAAATGGGGGGAAGATGACGAGCAAAGAGGATCACCAATAAAACACCAGTAGTAGAGAAGAAACTTATTGATATCATACTGCAGGAACAAGGAAAACAAACAGCTAAAGCCAAAGAGAAGATGCAAAATGAGGAAGAAGACAGCGAGGGTGACCCTAATTGGCCAGATCTGAGTGATTCTAGGGTTAAACTGGCTACTCCGGTAAGATCAGTTGTCAAGGAGGCAACGGGATCGCCAATTCAAATAGGCGAGGTAACCACTAGCAAAACATAACCCAATGGAATAGTGCATGCAGGCGCAGTAGCAGAGCAACAAGTTGCAGAGAGCAAAGAACAGAGGAGTACACAAGATAAAGCTGCTGAGAAAGTTGGAGAAGGCGACAGATCCTAGGCATGATTATTTCAGGAGAATAAACTCGATGCAAAAGGGATGAACTTATCATATATCCCTCTGGTGATACATGGTGGAAAAATAGTAGTTCAATTGTTGGAAGAAGACCTTGAAGAGGAAAACCAGAAGTGGAATAGAGTTGTGATACTATATGTGGTAGGAAATACTCCAACCATTGGGGCAATTGAAAGATTCATAGCAAGTCAGTGGAGCAGGGTCACAAAACCAAAGGTACTTTTCCATAATGATGGCTACTTTGTGATTTTGTCGTCTGGCAACGAAGAGAGGGAAGATGTATTGATGAATGAACCATACACTATCAATAACAGGCCTATTATCATGAGACCATGGATAGAAACCTTTGACTTCAATGAAGAGATACTAAAAACTATTCTACTATGGGTTAAATTCCCTAATTTGCCTCTGAATTACTGGAGTAAACAGGCTTTGAGTAAAATTGGAAGTGGCTTAGGCAAACCGTTATATACAGATGCATGTACTACAATTACAGAGAGGATTACTAATCTCATCCAATTTCGCTCCTCTATTTGATGATATGAAAACGGTCGATGCAATAGTAATACCCAACAAGAGTCGGGGTCGAATTCCGCAGGAAGCTATGTGAATGGGTGTTAGTAGTATATATCTTAGCACGTGATTTTGTATATATAAATTTTCACTTCCACAATAATTGATTTTGTTTGAAAATCTAAATTAAATCTTACTCAATTCAATAGAAACTTAACTTCTACCCCACGTTTTTTCTTTTCAAGCTAAATTGTTGGGACAGACTTTTTATAGGGATTCAAGCATATGACTAGTAAGGTAAATCAACATATTGTATCGACGAGATGCAAGAAGAATAAAATTAAGTAGTCATTTATGCGAGGAAACGCCAGGTCGCTTCGCGCAAGACATTGCTTAGGACCAACGGGTCACACGACTATCCTGCACTCGAACTAGTTGCTCAAGAAGCAGGGGAACCCTAATTTATGCTTATTATCAATCCTTGTAGGAGAGAAAGTACGAGAAATTAGCCCCGCTCCACTTTATTAAAAGCAAGGAACGGGTAAAGCTACTGCCCGGGCAAATGAGGTCGAAACTGTAATTTGACGACGCATACAGGTTCATGTCGTCATTTGTGACCGTTTAGGAGGTATGCGACTTGGACGATGAAAGAGGGCTAGAATATGGGTCTGGGTCAGATACGGAGGGGTGAATACTTCCTGATCACTCTCAGAGAGAGAGAGAGAGAGAGAGAGAGAGAGAGAGAGAGAGAGAGAGAGAGAGAGAGAGAGAGCTATTGTACAAGGAAGCTATGTACACATTTTCGGGTTATAATGATTTTGTGACTTTTTGGATTCTTTCTCTCATCTTACTACTGTTTATCAACAAATATATAAGGATGAGGTTAGTTTTATCCTCACTTTGTATCAAAAGACTGTTAAAACTTCCGCTACTGACACTTGAAAAAGCAGCTTTCAAGGTCTCATCGCTTCGGTGGGGCTTGCCTTTTCAATTCACATCTACGGGCGAGGATTCCTCTATCTCTTGCTCGCTCAAAGTCAACTGACTCACATGGAATACGGTGACCCGTTGGGGAATCTGTTCTAGACCCTCCTGCTGACTACGATTGCGATTTAAAGAATGAAACTAGGAAATTATTTTTGGTTGTTTTTCAAATGATATAAAAGGCCTAGGGCTATGACCATCATGTAGGTGTCTGCTTAATAGGTTGTAAACTTTAAAGCTTGTTTTATTGGTCGGGGTGTATTATAGCTATCAACACTCGAGTACCCACTCAATACCTCTCGGTCAGAGAGTGGTTTTGCCCAATTTGGCTTTCTCAAGTCCAAATGGGTATTGAACAAAACAGTTGATAATAAGCTCAAGGCGGGTTTTACTATCTCTAGGTTCAACCCTTTAATTGGGCTTATCAATCTCTCGATTGACCCAATTTCTTGCTAGCCAAGTTTTCTAGACTAAGTCTCTCTTTCTCAAGTAGAGACCAAGTCAAATAGGCATGAAATAATGTTTTCAACAATTAATTCTTCACATAAAAGCGAGAACTAGGCTAGATAATCAACACCCAACCATAAACAAGCAATAAATCAAACACCCATTAAGTTTACACACTATGGTTGGGTCACAACCCTAGTAAAAATCTAGATACTCATGCTTAAATTGGAAGAAAAAGAAGAAGAAGTGATAATTAAACCCATATTGATAATTAAAATGATGAAATCAATATTCAAAAAGCTCAAAATAGCAAAAACTACTAAAAGGAGTAAAAGAAACTGACTACTGTAGCAGCTTATGTCCAAACTTAACCTAAAAGGTGAAACTCTTCTATTTATGCAGTGCAAAAATTTTCGGACAAAAATGCCCTTTCGGAGGTTCTGCGGCCGCACAATTCCATGTGTGGCCTACACTTTGCTTTAGCCTGACAAGATTGGAAACCTGCGGCCGCACAATTTTGAACTGCGGCCGCACTTCTCTCTTTCTGCGGACAACGCAAATATGTCTGCGGTCGCACCATGCTCTTCTGCGGTCCGCACAAATGTGGTTGCGGCAGCATCATGCTCTTCTGTGGCCGCATAATAATTGTGTGGTTCGCACTCTTGTTGAACTTGAGATGCAGGTTCTCTAAACTATGGCTTTTACCCAGTTTCTGCAGCCGCTCGGTCTTCTTTATATGAGCACATCAGAGAGAGGTAGTATGATTATCCTCACTTACTTGT